AGGTTAGTAACAAATCCACAGGCTCCCAGAACAACACTAACGTATATCTAGGGTGCGGATATCATCAAGTCTGAGCACAAGGATCTGTATGAAGCCAAGAACATTCCCTACCTTGTCTCCAGCAAACTTTGATCTGTTACGGATTATCTCGAGCTGCTTATGATATTTTTAGCATTTGCGCACGTGTAAATTGTTTTGGTCTATTTCATCCCTTCTTTCTTCTGGCTGTATGGTCTTTGTTTTATTTAAATAAATACTCATCATTTTCTTCTTGTGTCGATTCTTGTTAGCAATTAGATTGTACTTGCGTAAATGGAAGGAGGTAGTGCCAAATAGTATAGAGCAAGGTCTCTGAATGCCAGCGTATTAAATCCAGAGGGAGTAGCGATATGTATATGTATATGACAATCTGGATGCAAAACACAGGTAACTCGGGGGAATTGGAGCATGGCAGTCAACAGATATTGCCTATGTATTCGACGGGACGTAGAAGAGGTAGACCACATATCCAGGCTAGTTGACAATGTGATGTTGGCGTTGTAACATATCGTGCATAATTCAAGACTCTGCTTGTCAACACTGGCCCGTTATGACATAATGAAAATCCGCATAACTAGTTAGAGAAAGATTGCTATAAAATAAATTGCAGTGCACGCGTCGATCGAAAGTTTGTGGTGATTTCTCTCCCCAAGCAATCCCTCAAGCTATTTCGTACCTGCTTTCGCTCAAAGTCTCGTCAGGTTACTTGATCCCTGGTAACATCTAACCATAGCCGACCATGACTCTGTCTGAAGTACAAACGGGACGTGAGATATCTCGTCTGCTAGATCATCCATGCATCGGCAAAAGGTTTCCGTCTAACAGCACGAAGGGCACAATCCTCACTGCGGCAATCTCTCTGTCAACGATGAAGTCCCTCTCGCAGCTCATCGCGAAACACATTGACCCGGTTCCCATCACCATATTCGCCTATTCCAATCAGTTATTGGTGCCAGGAAAAAAAACACAGCATCTTTATATCCAACTCACCGCCTCTGATCCAGGTCCAGAAACCCCAAAAAAACAATGCGTCACATCAAAATTGGATAGAAGGCTTCTCGAAGGCTTTCAATATTCTTGGAGGGAACGTGTAGCAGAAGGTACAGGAAGGCTCATCTGACACATCTTACACATTCAATGAAGATGAGAATTAGGTTATTTTTACCAGCAAATTTCGATGTTGAGCCTGGACGATCAAACGGGGCGAGCTGGATGCGGATGCAGATGCTGGCGATGGCGGCGAAGGGGATGCTGGCATCCTTGAGGCTCTCATACGCCAGACAGCCAGGCGTGCGAAACAAAATCCCACCAAGAAAGGAAAGAAAAATAAACGGGGACGAAAACCGAAGACAAAAGAGAAGCCAGTGGAGAGCACCTCTGTTTCATATCCACAGGAATTCTCCTGGAGAGCTATCGCATCATCGAAGACATCGAAGATGAAACCGGCATGACCACCGATTATTTGATGGCTGTCCAATCAATTACCGAGCGGTTGATACGGCTCCGACATGAATTGTAGGGCGCCTGGCACAGTGTTGCCTACTAAGGCATGAATACTGCCGTTTCTTCGTATAAGCGGATATATATACAGCTGTATCAATAATGGAACAAATTGATAATGATCTTTTGGCCTACCTAGTTGGTACATATCCAAGATCTCCGAGATTGGCCCCGGGAATTGTTGGGATTGTGACAGAAATGGACGAGTACGAATAATATATTTTAAATGATAAATGTAAAATTCTCTAACTAACTAAATTAATAAAATCCGCTCCTTTTCTAATCTAGTTATAAGGATATTCCTTGATTAAGCAATATATATATTTTTATATAGTACCGTTATTATGGCGGTCTATCTATCTTCCGGGTGGTTATTACTCGGTAATTTCCGCCATGCATCGTGCATGGTACAGTGGCGTATCATTAGTATTTGTACCCCAGTACTTCCGCGCCTGACCGCTCTTCTATACCGCCTGCCTATTCTCACCACTATAAGCTAACCAACTAGTGCGCGTAGTTAGCTAATCATTGAAATTATTATCCCATGAGACTATGCCACGCCGTGTGGAAGAGGTTATTAAATATCAAGGCTGGCATAACTACTAGTTACTAGGTAGATAGGAATTCAAGGGGTTATACCGGCAGAAAAGAAGTGGGTCTAATGTACTGGGGTACAAATACTAATTGTACTTGACAGATTACAATAGATGTGATGTGATAGGAGGATTTATCACGTGATGATAAGATTATACACGTGATCTTTGTATCCTGAATTGCGGAAAAGCATATCCCCGAAAAAAAGTGTCCAGACTCGCCCTTCGCGATCTCAATCTTCATCAAAATATTACGCAAAAATGGAGGGTAAAGCACAGGCTCGGTATGGTCCTACAGAAGGAGAAGAACAGAGTATCCCTGTTCTCACGACAAAGAAGGCTGTCAGTTCTTGGGTGCACCTTCTTGCTGGCGCGTACGTCTTTTTCAGCTACTATCATCTTTAATTCTTCTGACATCTATCTAGGAGCGGCGGAATGGCTACTGCGATAGTGACTTCGCCTCTTGATGTCTTACGAACACGTCTTCAGTCCGACTTTTACCAACCACAAAACAGGGGCTCCGATGCCTCCTCACGGCCTCTTCAGCGATCGAATCATAAAACTCTCCGAATTATCAACTCCATTTACCGTGCCGAAGGCTGGCGAGCTTTCTTCCGGGGCCTCGGTCCAAGCATGGCGGGTGTAGTCCCGGCGACTGCGATCAAGTTTTACGTATACGGAAATTGCAAACGCGTGGGAGCTCAACTCATGGGACACACCGAAGACTCCGCCATGGTCCACGCTCAAGCTGCAATCTGCGCAGGTCTCGCAACTTCTACGGCAACGAATCCAATATGGCTTGTCAAAACACGACTACAACTTGACAAAACACAAACAACCACCGGTGGTGCTTCGACTCGTCGATATCGCAATAGCATTGATTGCATCAGGCAAGTCATGCGGACTGAAGGGCTGGGTGGCTTTTACAGAGGATTGAGCGCAAGCTATCTGGGCTCGATTGAAACGGCCCTACACTTGGTGCTCTATGAGCAGTTGAAAACTCGGCTCAATCGGTCATTAGAAGCTACCGAGGGACCACGGACTCCCTTCTGGAACGAAGTTTTCCATTGGGTTAGTACAAGTGGTGCCGCGTCTTCCGCTAAGCTAGTGGCAGGTCTAATCACATACCCTCATGAGGTACGCCACTCTAAGGCCATTGTTTTCGTCTCACACTGACACTCAAATTCTTAGGTTATCCGGACACGATTACGCCAGGCACCTGTGGAACATGGCCAGCCCAAATACACAGGCTTAGTACAATGCTTCCGTACAATCGCCAAAGAAGAAGGTATGGCGGGCCTGTATGGAGGCCTCGCTCCTCACATGCTCCGTTCTTTACCCTCAGCTATCATCACGCTTGGCGTATATGAATTTGTGCTGAGGGTCACCGGTGCTTAGGTCAAAGCACAACTCTGTACACTACCGATAGATCTTAGACATTCTTGTATTATATTCCTGTATTATATTTGGCGTGGTTCATCTCAATTACATAATCTCATCTTTCACAGCCCCGGGGGGGTTGCGCTACTTTAGAGTATTCCATCTTATTGATAACTTGCCATTATCATTCCAATACATTCTTCATTGTGTCCAGAACCGCTCTTCTCCCCAATACTCTTCGCTGAAGCGAGCAGGCGTGATTGTCTCTAGTGTCCCTGCGTCATATGCCTCTACCATTCTTCCCTCCCCAATATACATTGAAACGTGATAAATTGTTCAATTGTTCTTGGATCGCTGAGATTACTCGCGTATAACATGGGACCTAGGGGTTTCAAATCTGCCTTCGCAACTCTAGTGGACCAGTGAACTCAACTTGCGTGTCAGCATAACGGGCAATAGAAATGCCTAGAATGGAGACATCTATAGATATAAATACCGGGCTTCCCTCCGCTGACCGGATAATGCCTGGCTGTTGTGCATTCGAGGATGATTTCCGGTATGCTAGTACGCTTCATCAATTAGTGGTTCACACGCTAAACTTGCTAAAGAGAAAATTCTCCGGATTGCCTCTATACAAAAGGCCGATCATGCACTTATATGAGAAGTCTCTTATGCTCACTATATCAAGCCCTTCAGGACATCTCGATTTCGTCGTCTATACCGTTACGCATACTTTTCTTGTCTATATCTATATCCATGGTGCCTCTCAGCCCACGTTACTTTTCTCTCTTGTACATAAGATGATACATACGACCATAGGGTATGGAAAACAGGGAGGCCCGCGATAAGTACTTCCGGATTATTCCTTTTAAGATCTTCCTCTAAGATCCGCCTAATCTAACCCTATAGAATACTTATAAGCTATTTTATCTGTGCGTTAGGTGTAATAGCTAGCTTTTGTGGCATAACACGTTTCATCCTGTTTGATGTGGACGCGGGAAGAGATTCAGTTAATTCAGTTCCGTAGGATTTATTTTCTGTTCCGTCATCCGGGGCCAGATGAAAATTATTTTCGATTGAGATATCATAATTTGTTATGTCTTGTTTGAATCGTCGTTGTTGAGATGTACAAATTGTTCATACCACGCTAAGCATCCAGGGTTGATGATGGAAGAGTTAGGAGTGATATTTTCCCCTGAAACTTTCTTTTTGACCACAATCTCAGCCTTCTTCCGAACTGGACATCCTTGCTATTTCCACCGGATTTGATTCAGTCGCTAGAGATCTCAATGATATCACCATTCAGGGTTCAAACGGAGAAATGTCGGCTGATAAGTGGAAGAAAGAAGCACACATATATTTAGGGATGGCGACATCAGGCTTCCCAACTTCTTCTTCACATATGGACCACAAGCACCTACTCCTTTTAGTAACGGACCCGCTTGTATTGAAGTTCAAGCTGACTAGATGGTGGACCTTCTAGTAAAGATGCGACAGGAGAGTGTCCAAAGATTCGATGCTGAAAAGAACGCAGAGGGCGAATGGAAGGTTACGGTTCATGACTTGAGTTCTAAAGGCCTCCGCCACTACACGGATTCATGGTATAATGGCGCAAACATCCCAGGAAAACCTAGAGGGCCCCTCAACTACGCAGGTGGAATTCCAATGTATCGGAAGACACCTCGGAAAGTGAGGGAGGAGAACTACACTGGCTTTAAATTCAAGCTTAGTTCATATTATATTATGTAAAATAATATCGTCTTAAAAGTCGGCTTATAATATTCACTAGGTCAGGTGTAAGAGTAGATGCTGTTGTCGGATCAAGTATTTATCGCAACGGAAATAATCGCTTTTATTATAGGAAAGTGTGATGTTAAAAATTAAACACAGATTGACGGAGATGAACTTCCGCATAAGAGTAAAGCTAAGTACAAGAATATATCCTACTGTTCATAGTCCAGTCCCCATCAGACCGTTTTTATGCTGTCGCCTTCAGCGCCGATGTAGTAGAAGTGTCCGACCCCCGGCGAACACTAGCGAGCGCACTCTTGGGTACGAGCCGTAGACCAAAGATGAACATGCCGAGCACTAACAGCCCAATAATGACACCCAAGGTCACCATAGCACCTATGACACCTGCCACCCCTAAACTCATCCCCCTGCCCGAAGACCCAGACGATGAACTGGAGGATGAACTATCCCCGTCAGCATCATTGGAAGTTGAGCTACAGGTTCCAGTCGTGTTCCCACAGGCCTGACACCATTGTTGCTGCGATGAAATGGCAAACTCATTTGACTTGTCAACAAATTCCGCCCAAGAAAGCTCGAGCATCGATTGTCTGAAAAGTGGATAAGTCTGTAGATCCGTCGAGCCCTCGACACTAGTTCCATTGTGAAACATGAAACGAACACTGATATCCGATGTGGAGGGCATTCCGGTGCCAGTATTGTTTGTCACAAGCTCCCATACCATAGACGAAGCGTAGTCTGGTATACTAGTGAATCGTTCATCTGTGGTGCTCAGTCCGGCTAGGCCGAAATAAGACAAGAAAGTGGCATAAGCACCGAACTGGATGTTCAGTTTCGATTTGCCGCTAGATGTAATTGTCTCGTTCAAAGCTGCAAGAACTTCGCCAGCAAGGGTCATACCAGCAACAGCACGGATCTGATCAGAGCTATTGTATGCTAGGTTGGACTCATGCTCGCTCGCGAGAACAAAGAGCCTTTGCATCATCTGATCATTGAGAAGGCTAGATGGGGGGAAGGCCGTGGTGGAATTGTGAATCAAAGCCACATGGAGTAAATCCCATATGGTGTATCCATTCTCGAAGTTCAGCTCAGCGGAGCTGAATGTCCCGTTGACTAGCGGTTCAAGGGACTGGTAAAGCTCCTTGGTGGACGATAACACGCTCTTAAAGGAGTTCGAGAAGAAGTAATTATTGCTACTGACTTTGGCATTGTTGCAGGAAGTTGTACTCTGGAGCCACATGTTGTCCTCGCTCCCGCTGCCGGACTTTACATCTGACATCGGGATCAGCTGGTAGCCGTTCATCGGGGATTGAATTGTTGATCCGTTGCGCAAAGTATCTGTGGCAAGAGAACCGATCGGAGGGTAGAGGCCTTGCAGGAACCCCTCTCCTGAGTTTTCGATAACATCGTCTTGTGGCGCACTCGCAGTAACCTGGGACAAGTTGACTATGTCGGTACTGATCCCTTCAATCTGATAGGAGGAGTTTGACGAGATATAACGGTCATGAAAAAAGGTACCAGTCACATACTCTTGAGTGTAACCCAGATTGGTCAATTTAGTAGGTGGCCAGGATTTAGCTGTACGGTCCCCATGGCGCTGGAAGACATAAGCCCCAAGGACCCTTTCTGCGTTGGTAATATCTACCAGAGGCAGAAATACCACCATAAAGATTGTGAGTAGGACAGACATGGTTGAAAGATTTTTCTCTCGGTATAGAGACCAGTCAAAGGTATATTGAAACTACAGTGGGCTTACCGAGCTTTATCAATAGCCTATCTCGTGCGGGGAACGGGGAGTTAACTCTATACAGCCCCCCCTCATTACTCGGTATGGTTTTTGGCATTAAAAGATCTATGCACAAGGTGATACATTTGGCGGTTAAGGTTTTTCGGGTTTTCCTAGCAAGATGATATCACCATCTAGAGGAGAAGGAAAATCAGGCATCGGATAACGCGGGTGAAAGATATATACCAAGGTACACCTCAATCTAGTCTGTGTCTGATCGTAGAGGAATACGAGATGTTTAGCGAAAGACAAGACTAGACTATTCATGCCTCAGCAGGAGGCGAATAAAGATGAGGGATGAGGGATGAGGGACCAAAAAAGCATCCCCCCACTCACGCTCGGCCCCACCGAAATAAGTCATACTACGATCTAGCTGCATATAAGACCCTGAGTGGGGATTGGCCTGAGAAATGGCAGGTTGTATCCTTCGTGCGTACCCCGCCTTTCACTTGCCTGTGAAATTTGTGGTAGCGAGGATGTATCCTTCCAAGTTTCATGCACGCCCCGCCCTTCAGTTCCTCGCCTATACAATTGGTGGGCGAAAATCGGGTTCAAGCGCCCGCTACCTACCGCTACCACTTTTAAGCTTCTCTGTAATTTTAGATCTGAGTTGATTCGTTCCATGGTTCTGCCCTAGCCAGCGCATCATTCCGATATTGTTTTTGGAAGGTCCCAAATATGCCAATTAAGAATGTGTTACATCAGTTAGTCTGATTGGGCATTCATGCTGTAAGAAAAGTGAATTTCAAATGGCGTTTTAACATGTATTGACAACCCATACTGGCCGAGGAACAGGGGAGAGGGTCTCAAAAGATAAACTGCAGAATAGAGGCCACCCCATACCATTCTATTACGTATTTTTGGTTTATTTTTCACCCTGATAATTCAACCCAATAGAAACCGAGGGGGAAACAACAATGGAATGTACATCAATAAGGATTCTAAATTTTTAGCCGGGATAGATAGACTAGTGTGAGGCGCAGGGAAGGTTAGTTAGATATGAGGAATTATCTATCGTCTTCCTTCTCGCGTACCCAATGGCCGCTCTTGCCCCCTTGTTTAATTCTTGTCTTCACCAGGGAGAAAAGTATCGTGTCGGTCTACTCGAGAGCTGGTAAATGGCCGTTATAGGACCAGGGTACTATTTATTCAGATATCAGCATTAATCTTAAAAGATAAGATCACACCCCAAACAAGATTTTCAAAGTACGTAGAATCAAATATCCCGAATGTGAGTTGGTATTTTCCATTTAAATGCATGGAAAATATACAGGTCATAAATCTTTTTAATTACAAAAAGAATATCCCTACCCACCAATGAGAATCATGGGACGGTTCTTCATGTTCTTCAGCTCATCCATCCCCGCATGTTTCGCCTTCTTGCGTTTCACGGCCATGCCGATAATATCCAGGATCTCACGCTCTCGTTCACTGGCTAGGCCCCTATTGTCCTGTGTAGTGTCTAGGAGACATAGTCTTTTTAAGGCTTCCTCGTCGATAGGCTGCCCATCATTCTCCTTTCGGATGATATCTCGCAGCGAAACCTCCGAATTACCAAAAAGACATACCTTTAAATTGCCATCACTCGTGATTCGGAGCCGATTGCAGGTGCCGCAGAAATTGTGCGTCATGCTCGTAATGAATCCGACATGGCCTTTAAATCCAGGTACTTGATATGTTTTACTAGTATCATTTTTATGATCGTCGAGCTTCACCAACGTCGGATATCTCTCTCGTATCACCGCCAGCATCTCCTGGTATGAGAACATCTTGCCCTTATTCCACTTGTTCCCACCAAAGGGCATATACTCGATAAAGCGTACCTCGATAGGCTTCTCGCGACATAGCTCGACAAATGGGATGATATCACGATCGTTTAAGCCACGCATCGCAACGCAGTTGATCTTTAGCTTGATGCCAGCGCCAACTCGATTCATCGCCAGAATGCGATCTATACTCTTCATCACTGCCTCAAATCCACTTCGTCGGGTCATGATCTGAAACTGGAATGGATCTAGGGTGTCTAGACTCAGATTCACGCCTGTTAGGCCCGCTTCTACCATCTGGTCTAGCTTTCGGTGTAGGGAAATCTGTTGGATGCCTGAGGCATCACCATGTGATAGAACCCATAGTAGATAGTACACCTGCTCTCTCTCCCCTTTCTCTCTCCTCTCTCTGTCCAACTCAATACATACAGTCTTTTCTCTATGAGTACACTCGCACTGTATTAGGTTATGAGTCCTTTCTTTTGCTAGCTGGACCACTAGCAACTCTTTCTCTGAAGCCATTTTCATCTGGAGACTTTTGACGATCCGACCCCACTGTGGATCCACCTTGTTAGTGGTACACTCGGATCCAGCCAATAACATCTAGGAAATCCTTCGAGACCCCGCCGGCAAAAGCTCCGTTTAGCTTTACAACCCAATCATGGCCGACGTCGCGACCGGAAATGTGGGGGACACCAACCCGCAATTTCACGACATATCGGCAAACCCGATTGATCCTAATGAAGTCCCATCCTTGAATAATCCGATTCAATTCGTATAGGATAATAGTGATAGTAAGGATGAGGATAACAAGCCGTCCTATCAGGGACATAGTCTGCTAGCGATTGCAATAACCAAAATTTAGAAAGTTCGGATACTAGAGCATAATAACACCGACCCGAGTGGTTGGAAATAGGCATTAGCGTACTAGTTGATCCTATACGCCTTAGTAGACTGCGACAACGCCCGTTTTTGTGGAGACATTTTTAGCGTCGCCAAGACATATGCGGGCACTCTTGGCACGGTGGGTACTGCCAAGAACTAGTTATGTACATAAAATCGCCGAATAGGGTAATTTTTGCATTATTTTTGCATAAGGATGGGCGATGGGCGTCGAATTTCAAAAGGCCCACGGGCCGTGGACACTTTCTAGTGCCCATGGACGGGCGATGTCGCAGTCTACGCCTTAGAATAGTTACTAGATAGTAACGTTCCTCGACCTCTAAAGTTGTATACTTTATTCGAAAGATAGAAGTACTGGTCTCGCTTAATTATAAGCTGGATATATAACTAAATCGATATAACACTGCAAAATAAACTACGCAACTTGTCAAAGATACCTAAGTATACTAATTATCTGTACGATAAACTTACAGCTATAACACAGGGTAGTGACCGGATGCAAACGGCGTTCCTCGAGATATATAAGTTCGATAAGATGAAACGTTCGGACTACAACTCGGTAAGTAAGTATATCGAGGAATACTAGCGTCAGTACCACGTACTTACTAGATTTAAAGCAGTACTATACCCAGCATATAGATTGTTATAAGTTCTCTAAAATCTTAAACTGGAAGTTAAGAAGGTCTAGTTTATTAGGGAGGAAGTCGTAAGTCTAGAACCTAAGAAACTTAACCTCGATAAGGTCGAGGAGTACTAGAGAGTACTGTAAGCAGCGGCAGATATAGAAGTAGACCTGGCACTGCACCTCGGGTAACCCTACCGACCCTGCACCTGCACCTCCATTTGGGCGGTGTAGGTTCAAAGATTCCGACCCTCAGGTGCGGTAGGTTGAGCACCGCACCTCATGAGGGTAACCCTGAGGTGCCCCTGAGGTGCGAAAACTATGACTAATATGCTAGAAACGTGACTTGGGGGTAATTGCATAAATTATGTAGAATTGGGCTGTATTCTTTTGTAATTGTAAGCTAAAGATTTATTACTGTATAGCCTTACAAGAGGATTGAGTGCATATCATAGGTCATAGTTTCATGTTTGAATAGGGCTTCAATTCTCACATTTGCAGTGATAATATCTATTATACAGTATGTTCTCAAGAGTTAAACTATTAAGTTATATACCCATCCAGTAGTCTCGATTTCTTCCGCATCCTACCTGATACACGATGCTGTGTATCAGGTAGGTCAGGCGACACGGAGACCCTGCCCTTATCTATCTCCGGAAGTTCATCGCCTTCAGATTCCTCCTCATCACCAGAAAAGACCATAGGGCGCTTCCCGGCAGCAACTGCTAAGAGTGGTGGTATATCATGATGTACCTCAACATCTTCCTCATCATCACTGATAGCGTCGAAGGAGTGTGTCTGGATGTCAAGTGCTTCAGCTGAAGCTGCCATTTCATGATCCATAAGATACTCTTGCAGAATTAGCCGCTGCTCCTCCTTCAAGTCAAATCTTGTTGTACACATATACAACATGATATCGCGAATAGTCTCTGGGTTTAATGAACCCCGGCGGTAGTGGCATATATCCCGGGCAGAGTTAAAAAGACGTTCAACTCCAGCACCAGTCGCTGGAATTGACATGATATCACGGGCAATGCGGGCAAGAATAGGGAACTCTCTTTGATGATTCTTCCAGAAGAGTCTAGCTGAACCATCGATAGTATCTAAGAATATTAGTTTTATGATCATATAGACTTAGTGCTAACTTACCACTCTGGAGATATTTAGTGAGCTCGTCATATTGCGGACCAGTTGATCCCTTTGAAAGATCACGCCCACATGCCCTCTCAAGCTCTGACTCGGTTGTCATTAAATGGCTATCAGACTGAACCATATCTGATGGTACATGTTGGCGATACCTCTCTAAAAGTGACTGGAGACTCTCACGGTATTCCTTTCTGTAGTCCTTTCCAGTCTCTGGATCTGGGTCCCAATCACTTGTTGAAAAGAATTGCATTTTGTTCGACGGTGCTAGGATTGTCCCAATTGCGTAGAGATCACCCTCAATACTATCAGTCATACCATAGTATTTGATCAATTTCTCTTTTGCAGCTTCAAGGGAAGAGAGCATCATTTGTTTCCAGTGAACCTTCTTCCGCTGAAGTTGAGATATTGACCTTTCAAGATGATCAAAGAGCTTGTTGTAGATCCTGAAGACAAGGTGGATACTCGAGTCTTTGGTACGACATACCAATGTGGTGAATGTAAAAAAAGGCTGGAGGATACAAAGTAGATAGTCAATCTGTCGCCACCCCTCTGAATTTAATGCGAAATAGGGTTGATTGAAGTCCGCACAGTACGAATTGTACGTAGTATAAAGTCTTCTTGCCCGCCGGAGCATTAGGAACGTCGAGTTCCATCGTGTACGAACATCCTGGATTGGGAGGAGCTGTGACTGAGTATTGGACTGGAGGTTTAAGAAGTTTTCTTTGCGTTGAGGGCTCCCGTTGATAAAAACTGCAAGACCTCGGACCTATAAGTAATAGTTAGTATTATTCACAGTTCATAAATAGAAGCATACCTTGTTTAATGTATCAGCGATCTCATGCTTCTGTTGGCGCGAGCGGAGTTGACGTAACCGATCGTCAGGTAATTCTGACTCAGCATTATCATTCCTCGGCGAAGCCTTGATCTTACCAAGTAAATCAAGTAGACTCAGTTGAATGACATGGGCAAGACAAGGCACTTGAACAATTGTCGAATCTATCTCCGGGTCTGACTGTAGATCCTTGATTGACTCATTCACCGCTGTGATAAGTGTCTTATTATTAGACGCATTATCAGTTGTCACCGCTAGTATACGGTGAATGATCTGGTGCTGTTGTAGAATTCGAATAACAACTTCACCAAGGTTAACGCCAGAATGAGTACCAGAAATTGGCTCAAAGCCAAGGAGTACCTCACGATACTCCCATTCCTGGTCTAAAAAGTATCCTGTGATAGCCATGAAGGCATGTTTAAATGGCGAAGTCCAACAGTCAAGGGCAATCGACATCTTTGCACTGGGTGGGAGCTGTTGTAGAGTCTTTTGTTGAGACTCTTTGACGAACTCTCGGAGACGCTCACGAATAACCTTTCTTGATGGGATGCTTGGTAGTGTAGGTGCTAGTTGGGCGTAAGAGATAAGGTCGTGGAATTCTTGATGCTCGACAAAGAGGAAGGGTAAATGTGATACAGTGATCAGATTAAGTAGCTTCTGCTCCCATATTTGCTGTGTAAAGGTAGGTACTGGTCTTCTCTCAGCCTGAAATATAGTTAATTAAGGATTCGTCTTAATATTCAACAAGAAATATAGGTAAACATACTGCGTCACTAAGTAGCTGGTGGACACTACTAGTTCCCTGGAGTGCCTGCTTCGGTACTCGTTGTCTACATCTTGGACCATCAAGGTGCTTCTGCATTGTTGATGTCCCTGTATGATTCGTAGCTGGATGCGCGAGAACTGTGCGACAACGTTTGCACATAACGCCTGGCTTTCCATCTTTGGTGTTTGCAACTTGTTGGAACCCTTTCCAGCAATCTGCACGACGTTTGGTAGGACTTATATCCCAATTGAGATTTTGCTTCGACCTACCATAGCCAGTCTTAAGCCACCAATCCACGAACTCCTTTGTCATTTCTGGTGTACAGATAATGAACTCGTTGATACGGTCAGGCTTAATTCGCGCAAGGGTGTCTGGAGCGAGTGGTGAAATGTGTGACTGAGGGCTAAGAAGGTCTGGAACTGATCCAAACTGGCTTTCGGATTGGTATTGGCTCCGGCTCTGGCTCTGGCTTTCGCGTTGGGAGAGGGAGTCTTCGGGGAGGAGGAAGTGTAACGCGTCATATGGCACCCCGTCTTGACTATCGAAGTGAGACGATGGGTAGATGTCTGAGAGCTGAGACATAGTAGGTTCAGTTAGCTAGATACTAGAGAAGAAGAAGATAAAAAACGTACTGATTGCTTTACATGAAAAGATACATGATCTTCTTGGGGCCTCTGTTTGACCCTGTTCAAGATGCTAGAATTGATCTATCATCTTGAGTATCTATAAGTAGATCCTATTGGCTAGTTCAGTGGGTAATTTGTATAGTAACCCTACCGCACCTCAGTGCACCTCACCGCACCTGAGGGGTAAACCTAATTAAACCTCATCGCACCTCGGTACACCTCGCTACACCTCAGGGGTAAACCTGAATAAACCTCACTGCACCTCAAAGTAACCCTCAGGTTGAGAAAATATTATAATCAGAACAGCTAAGTCTAACAACTGGGAAGTTTGAACTCAATTCATGATGTATCTGTGTTAGATATTCTTAATTCTCTAAGACAACATGATAGAAGAAGATTTGA